GTGTAGGGATTTAATGAAATGTCACCATCAGCCTGCAAAACCACTTCAGCTACTAAGCCATCAGTTGTGAACAAGTTTTACCCTTAAAGAAAAAAAAATCTCCCATTTAAGTTTCAGGCTAATCAGTTCACCAGGGTGTCATCAGATGACAGTTTTAAGTCTCTTCCTGACACTTTTTCCCCCCCAGACATTTTTCTCACAATTTCAGCTCTGCTTTAGATAAACACACGCGAGTGGTCAGCTGGTAGCTTTGACACTGGAGCAACAAGGGCAGAAGTGAGAGAGTGGTCATTTCCATCAGCACCTGCACTACTTCGCTTCCACCCCTTGGAGCGAACCCCCAGGGACAGCCATCGGATCCATCTTCAATATTTTGTAATGCAAACTCTTAGGACCAACAATTAATTTCTGAAGGCAGTTACAGGTGAGCTAACCTGACATCATATGAAGTTAACCAAATGCCTTGTGCCAGCAACAGGGGAAAAGAATCCAGGAACTGCACCTAATTTCTGGCCATCAGTAGCACAGGAGTTTAGTCACTTCAGAAGCTCCTTTTGGACAGGGACTAAACAAGGCTCTGGCACCATCGCACAGGGCCTGTCATGGGGGCATCACCCTTACCTGGCAGAAAACAAGGCCTCTTTCGCCTGCCAAGAGGAGATTCAATGATGCCCTATTAGCCTGAAGCTCAGATAGAAGCCCAGAATCCATATTTAGGACTACTGCTGTGCTTCTAGAATAAAACCAGCTACGATCACCCCCACCCGACGCTTCCTGAGCTGCTAGATGGGTCCCATCATGACAGGTACTGAAACATGTTACTGTGGCCTGGAAACCACCAACCTAGACAGAGGCTCCTGACAGTGCTTGGGCATCTTAGCGGAAACGAGCTATTTGAGAGGACATCTGCAGAGGTGTCTCAAGCATAGCAGCTGCCCTGAACTGTCAGCTTCTCCCCGCCCAGACTCCAGCAAAGCAAAAGGAAAGTCAATTAGTCATGCATGGCAAAAACCTCACAGAAACTCAAGTTCCTCACCTCGGCATCAGCTTTTGTGATTCAGGTAAAGCTTTCTGTAACAGTTTTTAAGGGACATTAGAAGGTGAGATTAAGCTGCTGCTCATTTAGCTAATAATGGGCTCATTGCTAAACAGAAGCAAGACCTGTTTAGTTAAACATTTCCCAGCCTCTCTCCTTTCTCATCTCCTGTGAAATTGGAGAGGGAAAGTTATTCACATCTTTAGACAAATACAATCTGGCTCTGTAGATGTGGAGTTTTGCAGAAGGTACCTCCCAAATCGTAAGGCAGCACGCTGGTCAAAATCTGAAAAATGCTGTGTTGCAGGTACAGGTTGGCACACGTGAAGCACAAGAACTTAAATGGTTTGTTGAGGCGGGGGAAGAGCTGGGACACAAGCACATTTGGCACACAAGGACAGTGCATGACTGCGATCAAGGTTTTACCTTCCTGTATCAGGTTTACTTAGATGCAGAGTGGAGCTGCATCTATTTATACCAATATAAATACCTATATTAAACTCTGCCCTGCAAAGACTTCACTTGTTCTGCCATTGCACTTCTGCTCCCTGCAAACATGAAGTTACAGGTTTGACAATTCAGTAGAAAAATGCAATGTGCAAGAGGTGCACAGAACTGGGAGTATTAACTTTTGCACAGTAAACACCTGCTTTTTCACACTAATTAAGGGGATTATTGTAATCCAGTGCTACTCTTGTGTGTGCTACAGATAAGTCTATTTTGAACCAAGCAAGTTGTAGCTCCTGGAGAACAGTCACCCCACAATATTTAGCAGACTGCAATGTAACCTAATCAATGCCTTAATAGCAGCCATTTTTAGCTAAAAATCACAATTTGTTCGTGCATTAAAGCACATTGAGGCAAGGATTAGATCTTGGGACCAACCAAATCCCCGGCTTCAAAATAAGGTACGGCAAAGCATTGCTTACCTGATTCAGATTAAGTATACACAATGTACAGGATAAGCAGAACTCAGCTCTTTGAGCCATTGCATATGACTAAGTCCCAGACGAGTAGGCCCTTATGTGCCATTGCCAAGTATGGTGGGACTCCATGGCATACCTCAAGGCAACACTTGCATTGCAGATCCATGCTAGTGCACAGCATTGATGCCTCCATGGTCTCCGTATCTTGTACGGCTATCATCATAAACCCTCTCCCCAGAGAAGCAGCTCAGAAGAGCTGTCACAGTGTGTTCAGGGTGAACAAAGCTGCAAGCCAATTCCCACAGGAGGTGGAATTTTCAGACTTGCCTAATTTTTTTTCCTTTCTCCCCCATGCAAGTGAAGAAATGAGAAGCCCTAGCAACTTAGAGGAACTATCTCCTTCCCAGGCATATGACAAGTACAATTACAACTTCTAGAAACACTATGAGCAGGTTTCTCTGGGTGTTACAGCAAAATTTTTTCTTTTTTTTTTTTGAAATGAAAAGGGAACTGGGTTTCCATAGATACTGATTATTAACATTCAGTAATGAGCATTCCTTTCTCACTTCTCTGTTGGGACCTATTGAAGTTGTCCACCCTCTCACGTAGTTATAGTACAGCTTCCAGGTGGTCTGGAGTTCACAAAGTGTCAAGGAGATTCAGAGATTAAGGAATGCACCGGGTTTTGCAGTAATTAGAGGCTACATCACTGAAGGCCTTCTGCTCAACCCCCAAAACTCACTACTGTTAAAGCCTTTCTATAACACAGAAGAGAGCTACCCTAGCACTCCAGGTGGCATAAATACTGTAGAGTAAGACTTAAAAGCCCAGACACAACAGCCACAGCGTGCAGACTTACAGGAAAGTTCTGCCCATAAGAGACTCTGCGATGGTGACGCTGAGCTTGCTCGTGGTCTTGACTTGAAGTCTGTGGTACTGGGGAGCGTGGGAAGGCCCCATCAGCCCCCCAGGAGCACAGCCGCTAGCTATGCATAAATGTAACAGGCAGATTTCCTCACCTGGGATGAAAGTTGAATGCTACCTTAACCATAATTAAAATTTATCCCTAGTGTCCTGCATCTCCAGCCTTGCAGTCGAGCCACTCACTGCATGAGAGCATCAGAACAAGAACAGGGCACTGCCTAAGCTTCCCCCATTGCTGCTTTCACAGCAACCATCCCTTCTGAGACAGCCCTGGTAAGTAAATCTTCCCTGAGGAGAGCAGGGTGTTGCTACAGCAGTGTGTTTTCCAGGGTAAAATCCTGCCTCCTGGACGCTCTGGTGCTGGCTCCTACAAGTTGAAACCACTCCACATGCAGCAGCCAACTCAAGAGGAGGAAATGGGCCTTTTTGTGCATGCTGCTTCTCCTCAGAGCTCCAACCAGTCTGAAGTCAAACTTTGCTGTTGCACTTTCAGATCTTTGCCTTTTCTTCCAGACGTTAGAAAAAAGAAAACTTTGCCCCTGTGTTAATCTTAAGGTAGCTTTTGCATTGTGCATTTCACAAAACTGAAGCACAACCTAGAAAAGGGAAGAAATAGAGCACCTCCAGTAATTTAAATCTCTGCTGTGTTAGCAAAACCCCCTAAAGTTTTTAAGTTCCCCAGCTAATTAACCGCCAGAAAACAAGTTTAGTTATAAGGAAACCTCTTTCAGCATTTGAATTTAAGGAATCCTTATTGTAATACCACATTTCTTATTCACCGCTTGAGTTTCATAACCAAGAAAACCAACTGGCTCAGACTGCTAACCACAACGCCAGCTTTACAACTGTATGCTATTTTCTGGTGCAGCCCATTTTAAGATCTAATATACTAGTACCTAATAGAAAACATCATGTGCCTTCAAAACTTAAGCAAAAAATTCAGTTACAAAACTTGCCATCTCTGCACACTTTCCCCTCTTCTACTACTGACTTCACTACCCCACCTAACACCACAGAGAACATGAATTCAGTCTAAGAGAAATACTTAACATTTTCTCTGTGCAATACAGAGGTGACATTAACTAACACCATGTATGTTTTTTCCGACTCTTGGGAGGCCCTGGCAAAGGTTTTTGCAGTGAATAATTAACTTCCAGCTGTTTGACAGCTCTGCATGTCATGGAAGCCAACTCAAGAACTCCAGCTCCAAGTCAGCTCTTCTAGCCTTACTTGAAATTGGTTTCTCAGCTCATTCAGGCATTGGAACTGTTTTGCATTGTTTAAACTTGCTTTAAACCAACCAGCTTCAGTTAAGTCATGAAAGACCCTTTCATTTCAGTTTAAAGGCCTCAGTGTAACCTGGGAAAATTCTATAGATCTTTATTTTCTCAGATAGCAAAAGCCAAACCCCTCTAATGTCTCTATCACCATTTACCGAGAACAGGCTGTAAACCAGCTTGATGGGACCCTTTCCCCTTTGGGAGCGGACCTAGCTACAACATAGTTTGGTGAAAACATTTGAGGAAAGCAATAGTTTTGTAGGCATTTTTGAGAAGGAAGGTATAAAACATAAGTAGGCAAGTTATTTCAGAACAAGGAAAAAGCTAGCATGCTGCTCACAAGCTCCAACATTTCAGATTCCGTAATTTGTTTCCCCCCTTTCTGAAAGTTCAAAGTTTTGCATCATCTTTAAGCAGAGTGAAATTAAGTGCCCAGAGTTTTGCCAGTATTATTTCACTTTGACCAGAGTGCACCTTGTGCAACCAACGCATCTGCCGTGGCACAGCCGCGGCTTTCTCTCCCCCAAAACCAGCACAGCTCACCCCACGGCTTGCCGAACGCTTCACTCGGGTATACCTGCAAACAGTCCTTGGTCTTGGTGGTATCAACAATATTTTAACTTAATATCCAACCAACACTAAATTTTCCTTAGGATTCCACTGGGCTTTTAATATTGAAAAGAAACAGTTTCACAGAAGTCACTGGAAGGGTAAGGAAAGGAAACAGTACAGTAATTATATCTGAAAGTTAAACATTATCTTTCCCTGTGTAGAAGGGGTTTTCTCACAGGCTAGCTATGACTAGCTGATTGGAAATTCTTTAATATCACAGTGGTAGACTGAGTCCAGATAAACTAAGAAATTTTTTTTTTTTTTTAAAAAGATCGCCTTTTTTTGTTTTACAAAGGAATTAAACAGCAATTCAGCAGACAACCAATGAACTGTTTTCTCTGAATGCTTTAAGAGAACTGAGAAATGAAGGATGCAATTATTAACAGATTAAAGGCTGCAAGGCATTCTGCTACAGCTGAGTAAGTTCTGCTGGAGAACTACTACAGGATGAAGGATTTTATTTTTAAAGATCTTGCATGATCTTGCAGAGAAGTTTTCAGAGAATGCAGTCACACGAGAACTGTTCAAAGTACCACAGCAACAACCCATCACACCCCCTTTCCGCAGCTATAGAAAGCCCCAGCTGACCACCACGTAAGCCACATGCTCAGAAATAGCAGAATGGAAGAAATTGCTTTTGATTTTGATTGCTTCACATACAAAAAGAAGAGCAAAAAGCAGACTTCAGAGTTTGAATTCTCAAGGAAAGGATAGGCTCTCTTTAACCACAGCAGAATCACTATCTGAAGACTCTTTAGGAAGATGAAATATAAACCCTGGTCTTCATCAGATGGTGGCTGGATCTTTGCTTTTATCTATGTGATATGGTGCTTGCAGCACAGAAGATCAGCACTATCTGTGCCTTCAGCCTTAGTCAAAGGAGCTAGTAGTATTCCCCTGGCATCCCTCCAACCCCCAACTTCAGCAAAAAGGCATTAGGAGATCAAGCCATCTCCTGTACTTTAACATGAAAGACACTGTCAGTTGACTCTCCAACAATTTCCTACCAGATTAGCACAGGCATGTAAGAAGAATATTTAATATACTGTCTTTCAGGTTTAAAAAAAAAAAGACATAACATTTTGAATATTGCCTATCTCACTGTATTGAAATAGTAAGAAACAGGGGATTTCTGGTGGTTATCAAACAGGCTGGTACAAGTTTACTGTTATCTGTTACAGTAGAAGGGAAAATAAATTAATGGTGTACACAGACTGAGCCGATATTACGGACATGATGTAATTCACCTCGGATGAGAGGCCAGCACTGCGCACAAAAGCCATTGTGTCTCGGCAACACGCTACGGACGTGAGGGCTATACCCGGCCTCAGAGAAGTACTATGAAACCAGACGCCTGCATGCTAGCTCTGCTCTCATCAATGGTACAATGTTGACAAAAAAAAGTAATGACTGCTCTCATCCACATGCACAAGGCCAAGTCTTATCAGGAATGCAGATCTGACCGAGCAGCACCTATCCCAGCACTCATCCGCCATCAAAGACACTGTCAGAGGAAACGTCATCCTCACACCTTTATTGCCCTGCGATAAGCTCTCCCCTTTGCAAGAGGGGAGGGTGACTGAACTCATAGTTCCAGGACCAATTTAAGCCTGGATAAACTGATATGTAGGTAGGCTTGTCCCTCCCCCTTCTCCTGCTCTGCATGCTTTCCACCCCAAACATTACCTGGCACCAAGATAAAAGAATTCCTCACATCCAGGCTGCTTTGCAGTTATTTAAAGAAACAGCCCCTTATGACCCCAGCTTTTTGACTGAACGGTCTTCTTGCTCACACTGTCACCTAAGCTTAGTGAAATCTACTTTAAGCTTGCTTTACTTGGCATCTGGCGCTATGTCTGATCTCCTCCTCCTCAACATACAAGTCTTTCAAACTACAGAAGTAAACATTCAATGGCAAGACACTTGAGAAAGTTGCAAAAACTGGCAGGAGTACTCAGGAGTAGGAAGCAATAGCCAGAGCTTCAAAAAGAAAATTTTTAAAAAGGGGGGAGAGGGGGGGAGGAGCATTACAGAGAAATTTAAAGATGAGAGAGAGCCTTAGAAGCATGGTAAGGACAGAAGAGAGGGAAGAAGAGAAACCTATTTTGGAGAATTCATGCCCACAGCAGTTTTTGCCTGGAAACACACACCAGCACAGGCTCCTCACCAACACTACATTTATTCATGGGACTACACTGCTTGGGAACTACCACCCATGTTTGTCTAGGGAGACTCTTTGGTGAGGTTAGCCTCCAGATCGGTCACCCAACAGTTACTGTGGATAAGGAAGACTTCCACACTAGGAAGTGTGGGGAAACTTTTACCAAACAGACTGGGTGTCTAAAGGAGCACATCAAGATCAAACGTAGTTTTACATGACATGAGTTTCCATGGGTCCCCAGGGAATACTGGAGGTAGAAACCAACCTGCACTCTATTTAAATAGCGTTAAAAGTTATTATTTGCCAAGTGAACCCAACAATTACCAGCCTTTTTTCTCCCCCCACCCCTTCTGAGCCTTTAAGACTTACGTAAATGCTGCCAGGCCCTAAATCTTAGAACCTTTAGAACACGAAAACATCCTTTAAAACAGCAGCCAAGACAGTATGCTTATTAAGGGCACCGAGATGAATGAGATCTGCAGGACAGCTCTCTTCACATGCTGTTGGTCAGTGGCACTTTCAAGAGTAAAGTATCATCTTTCAATCTAGCAAATGGCATCTAAAACCCTGTGGAGAAACAGCGAACATTCCCTAATGGAAATTCTTGGGTGAATTTACTCAACAGCTTTCAGCAGTTTTGATTTAGTAAATACACTGCTCACCCTCCTCAAATGAGATTGAGCTCACAGCCCTTGCTCTCAACATACTGGCAGCAGCCCAGTGCTCACTGGAAACAAGTAAGTTTGAGAAAGCTAATGATAAAATAATGTAAGTCAGCACGGTGTAAACCAGAAGGCATCCGTCTGCAGAAAGACGACAGGTCACATTTGATACAGTGGGGAACAGTGCTGAGCCCGACGGCTCTTTGCTCACTGGCACGTTCAAGACTGCAGGCAAACAAGCACCGTCATTGTTTTAGGGCCATATGTCCCACACAATGAAGCCTCTGCTACCACACCTTCACTTAGGATTTTAATTCATCCTTTCACATTTCAGCAGCCCAGTAAACCCAAAGAGCAAGGGCACTTCACAGACCTGTTCCAGGCTATTTAAGGGCTGGTGCCTACCCTGCAGTTTTCCATGGCACAGAGGTACCTAAACTAGGCCAAAAAGAGCAAGGGCAGGGATCAGAAGTTGCCAGTAGCACCAATTAGTCTATCCTGCTTCTCATACTTGCTCTCAGACCTCTGTGCTGTGGGCAACCCCAACTCACTATCGCACCCCCACCATACCCTGCAGGTGGGAGATCAGGGTCATCAGCCAGATTCCGTGTACCACGCTCAGTTATCTGAATGCCACTATAGCTGTGACATCTCCGTGTACCACGCTGTTATCTGAATGCCACTATAGCTGTGACATTAATTTACTCTAAACCAGGCAGCCAGGAGAACTGAATTGAGCACATAAAGACAAAGTTGCAGCACATACACATCAAATAGCTATTCTCTAGAATAGAATTCTATAGATTCAAAGCGCTACAAACTCCAGGCACTACAGACTGCAAATATGATCCAGGCACAGTGGATCCATTCAAGTTCCTTCTCAATAAGGAGCTGCTGGTAGGAAGGGCTAAATAATCTGCAGAGCCTGACCTGGCCGTGGCCAGGGAACATGGGAGAGCAAGTGTCATTCATTAGACCTTGCATCCTCATTCCGCACCTCGGATGTGCTCAGCGCAAGCCTTCACTCGCTGCGAAGGAGAGGTGCACTGTTTGTTTACACAACATTTACAAAGCGTCAGCACATCTGCTTTGGGATTACTGTTCTGTCTCAATCTTTAACAGGAACAGTTTTACAGGTCACATCAGCCTTTTAATATCACGGCAAAGTTCTAGCTTGTTTCTAAAGATCATGCCCCACAAAAAGTTGGAGCAGAGCACAATTATACACTTTTGCCATGCACTTATTTCCTCTAAGCGTATGGAGATTTGCCTTCACCTCAGTGAAATTCCTGCAGAACAAGTTAAGTGGCACTGCTACATATTTAACCTTTCCTTCCCCTTTCACCCATTGATGCAAGTTTATACTTGAACCAGATCTTGTTAGCCTGAGACACGCTGTTACTGTTTTAGCCAGAATTATTTAGCTGTGTTCCCCCAGCATAAGCCTTCTGCAGATCAGGTGATGTGCTTCTCAAGGCTAGAGTTACACAACACGAGAGAAACCAAAGAAAATTATCACAATAGCTTTCTAACCTGCAAAGAATCCTTCTTTACCAGCTGCAGGGAAATACTTAACACCAAAGAACACTTTCCGTGGTTACCACCATACCCTGACACCAAAGCCACCTAACAGCCTGGTTCTATCTTAAGTCAAGGTCCACCTTTAGAACAAACCAACCCTTGTTGTGCACTATTTCCCCACATACTGCTGGTTTTCTCCAATCAAATGTCTTTTTCAGAAGGTCAATATAGATTACAGAGAGGTGCAATTATAAGCACACAGAACTGTACTTTGAAACCCTGCTCAGCCTGCCACAGAGCGGTACCATCTTCTTAAAATGAGCACAATTAAAACGCAAGTTTGCTAATTGATACTGTTTTGTGCTTGTAAAAGTACAAAGTAAATATTAGTTTGGACTCCATTAAATCCTTGACATTCTACGTGTTAGAGAGGATTAGGCAGGATTTGGTCATATCTGATTTGGCTATTTATTGCATTCTGTTGTTTTTATTGCTAGGGTGGTTTGGGTTTTTTGTTTTTGCTTGGTGTTTTTTTTTTTGTTTGGGGGGGGTTGGTTTTTGTTTTGGTTTGGTTTTTGTTTGTTTGCGTTTTTTTAAAGTTGGCACACCAAAAAGTTTCCACTGATATGAGCAATAAAGAATTCATCAGACTAAACATGATGATTATAAGAAAAGAAGTCTCTGGAAGTAGACCAGGACAAACACTGCTGTCAAGTACAGGCACATTTAAGTCTCTAAAGAAGAAAGTTGCTTCAAAAGCCCAGCTTGACAGCCCCAGAAAAAGGCACACTGTACTTTTAGATAAGCTTCTGTTAATAACTTTGTGTTCTATTGCTACCAAAGTTCTGCAGAGAAAAGCAGGTTGTGCCACACATTTTATCAAAGCCCACCCACAGGGATCTTCCTTCTCTGCCACGCAGATGACAGCTCCCATGCCTGCTGCGGAGAGGAGAGCCCTGGGCACCGCTGCAGCACTGGCAGGAGGAGCTGCTACCCCAGGCACGTCGGGAGGGGGGAAAGCCCTGAGGCTTAGATCCCCCTCACCCCAGCAAAGCCACCTCCTGCTGCTTCCCACTGCCTCAGCTTGGAGGAAGTGCTCGGCCTTGTTTAGTTTCACTTGACGGCATATGATGGCCCAGTTAAAGCAGAAATGAAGCCAATTAGGAAACCCAGATTGTGAAGTCACCACTAGCACAGCTACAGCCGTTACAGCAACGGCGGGAGTTGTAGTTGCACAAAAATTGTTCTTTAATGAGCAGGGCTACCTTTACCACTGTCTCCAGAAGGGCTAGAGCATCCAGTGCCACCATCGGAACCCAGAAGAGGAGACCCATCCCACAGCACAGTTCAGCAAAGGGCAATAACACCAGCTCTTAGCTTTTAAGTTTAAGCTCAGCCTACAGCACTACACCTCATCAGCGTTATACACGGAATATCCTGCACTTGGCAAAACGAATGAGGCCGATTACTTGTAGCTCGCTTCCTCTTGGCCGTGCTGTGTTGAAAGCCTGCAATGTTTGTCAGCGTTGGCTCCCAGCAGGGGCACAGGGCAGGGGTGGCCCAAGCCCAGCGTGCTACCAAAGCCCCGTGAGCAGAAGGAAGAGCATCGCTGTGGGAAGAGGTGAGAACAAGGACTCACGGATGACCGCGACAATAGAAAAACATAACTCAAGGCCAGAGAGGAAGAAAAAGGAGGGTGGAAGGGGAGAGAAAGTGACAGACTAAAACAAGGACAAGGAATAAAAGCAACAGCAGCAACAAGCTCAGCCAGTAATTGTGCTAGGACATGGCAAGGAGGAGTCACACAGATGAAGTAAGTGGTTTGACAGAAGCCGTCCTCTCCAAGAAGTCCCTGTCCTGTTTGTCTACAGTTCAGCTGGGAAGTTTCAACATGCCCTCGAGCCCATAAGCCATCATGCAGGATAATCAGGACAGCTAGAGCCACTCTGACATAAATCCCTCAGCAGAAAGCTTAGAGACAGCATGGGAGAGGAGGGAGCTCCTCTTGGAGCGGACCCTGCAGAGAGCAGATGGCTCATTTCAGGAGGCAGCTCCTAGCAAGATTAAGATGCTGTAGGTCTCCAGCAGCCAGGATGGAGGAGGGGGCAGGAGCACATATACCTTCCCCTCAAGAACAGGTTCAG